CCATCGAAGAACAAGTAAGAAAAATATGGTACATCATTTGAAGAAATATTATTTAGCTTTAGAAAAAAGGACATAATGCAATATGCTACAGCACGGATGGACTTGAAGGACATTTATGCTAACTGAAATAAGCAACATTCAAAAAGATAGATACTCCATAATTCTACTTATATGAGGCACTTAGATTTCCTTTAGGGTGGTACCTGGGTCCAAAGAGTAAAGCCTTCATGAATGTGATTAGTGCCTATATAAGAGAAGGCCAGAAAGTTAGCTCCCTTTCTTTCTCTGAAAATATAAAAAGTTGGCAACTGAGAATCCAACCATGCTGGCACTGTGATCTCAGATTTTCAGAATCAACTGAAGGAACCAAAACCAGAAAGAGAAAAACCTCAGAGAATTGTCATACATTTACCCACCCTATTTAACCTAATCCTCTACTCAACTCCTGTTAGATGAGCAACATCATAGCTTTCTGTTTATCTTTGTCTTTTCTCCTTTTTGTAAGTTTTTAATTGAATTTTTGAGTATTTCATACAGAACAGCTTAATCATCTTTATACCCCCTTTCCCCACTACCCCACTGGCACCGTCCCATAGCAAACTCGCCCCCAGTGGAATTCATGCATTCTGTTGTATTAAGGCCTATTGTGTCAAGTTAGTATCAGACCAAACATATAAGGAATGTTTTATTTCCATTTCTTTCTTGTACAGTGATGGTGTTATTAATTATACCATCATTGTAACTACCCTCAACAAAATAAAAGTCTAACTCTTAAAATAAATTTTTAAGAGAGGGCCCAAATTCAGAGGATACCTGTTCCCCTAGATGTCTCTCAGAACTGTGTCTGATGGATCTCTCTTGTCACCCCAACATGTGAAGACAGAACGATCTGTGTCCTCACCCTGTGCCAATAGAACTGACTCTGGAACCCTGCTTCTCCCATTGTATCCTTTCAGGCCACACCCATAATTTATTCAAAATGGTTCTCCAGCTTCACTGGGCTCCACATGTATCTCAATAGACCACCAGGCCTTTTCATTCCTAGTAACTCATTCATCCAAGCTCACAGGTTCTTCCCAACCTACTCTGTTTCCAATGGGTGGAAGGCTTCCAGTCTTTGCTACGTTAATTCTCAAGCATGGCTTCACTCATTCATTATCTTTTGGGGTGGAGTGCCAAACTGAGGTTGCCAAGGAGATGCTACCATCATCAGACTCAAGCGCATGGTTTTGCTGGGGTTAATTAAAAGTCATTAGCCCAGATTGTGTCCATTAATAAAAGTCATTCCTACAATAAAGTGGTACACTAAATGCAATCATTTACACTTTACTTTTCTTCATTTAACAATATCTCAATACTATTTCTAGGCTTTTTTCAAAGATAAAAAATTGATTCATTTAATTCTCTGCTTTTGCTCCATTTCTGGATAAGACAGCAGAACAAGAAGCTACAGGCACGTGAGCCTGTGAGGAGGAATGAGAATAAGAAAACACAGGCTCTATTCAGAAATTCAAAGTAAAAGAATACCTGCATAGCACAGAAAAAAAAGACAGGTGACACAGAAGTAAGCAAACAGCTTGAGCAACCAAACATCAGAATAGCATCTCAGCAGAACCCCAAACTAGGAAAGCTTGAAATGATACATTTCAGGTCATTAAAGTAAGCAACTGTTAAGATTGCTATATGTGGGGCTAGAGAGACAGCTCAGCAGTTAGAGCACTGGCTGCTCTTACAGAGGACCTAGGTTTGGTTCCCAGCACCACATAGTGGCTAACAACCATCTGTAACTCCAGTTCCAGGGTATCTAACATTCTCTTCTGGCCTACAACACAGGCATTACACATACAAATGCACTCACATACATGAAGACAAAACAGTCATATACATAAATAAGTAAATTTTTTTCATATGGCCTTTTTCTTTTATTATAAAAACTGAGAAGCAAGGGCTGGGGAGATGACTTGGTGGCTAAGAGAAGTAATTTTTTAAAATAAATAAAAATAAAATTGATGGAGAAATAGAGACATTTCAAGTCAACCACAAACTTCATGGCCACCAAATAAGCACTGAAGAAGCTATTCAAAAGAATACTATAGAGACAGGTGGAAGGAAGATGGTCTCAGTCAAGAGAACACAGTAAAGAATATGTGGACAGATGAACAAAGGAGACCTAGGAAGGAATCATTATGTTCAATAACGTAGGCCAGAAACCCTAATTCTAAAAGAAGAGAAAATAAGAACAGACAGACAATAATCCAACCAATTAGAAAAGCAATCAACAGAATTATAGGGATTAGTAAACAGCACTCAATATTAACTTCAAATTAAGTGACTCAACTAACCAATAAAGAGATCCAGTGTGGCTGACACCATTATATGTCACCAAGTTTTTAATGTTATTTTGAGAAGTCTGGTGCCAGTTTTTTTCTTGCTTATTAGTTAGTCACCATTTTGCCTGGAAACTCGGTCATTTTACCAACACATACCAAGTTAATAATTCCAGGTCAATTTCCCATGTCTGTGGCCCTTTCAGTATATGGAATAAAGTCTTTTATTTCTATTAAATGTAGCTTCTGTTGCTTGAGTTTCTTCAGTTGGGAATTCTAGTTACACACATCTTTTTTTATTTTATGTGTAAGAGTGTACTGCCTGCATGTATGTAAGTGCACCCTTGCTGTGCAGTGCCCACAGAGGTCAGAAGAGGGCATCAGATCTCCTGGAACTGGAGCTACAGATGGTTGTTAGCCCATGTGGGTGCCGGGTACCAAACCTGGGTCCTGTGCAAGAGCAGCCAGTGCTCTTAACCACTGAGCCATTTCTCTAGGCCCCAAGTTTCCCACATCTTTGACTCATGCATTTCAACCAACTCTTTCGATGTCTTTATTCCATTTCATTGGTTGCTTTCTTAATTTTCATTCATGTTTCTTATTAAACTTACATTTGAATCTGTTCGCTTTTAGGCATTTTTAATTTTACTCATAACTGCTATTATGAATGTATTTTTTCTATTTCTTTCTAAAATCCACTAAATTCTAGCTTCATCACTTCTTTTTTGTCTACTTCCTTTCTTTAATTAAAATTTTCTTTCAGTTCATAAATGTGACATTCAAGGAAATTTTTCACATCCCAAAATATTTACTGAGCTAAAAGCCAAAGTTTTTGTGACAATAGAAAAGCATGACCTCAGAGTTCTGAAAGAAAAAGGAAATAAAACTCAAATTGAAATTCATATCTAAGTTACTATTGTACAGCTAGATATTATTACTAGTAAACAAAGGGGAAAAAAAGAATGAACATCCGGCAAAGCATTTCAGGTGGAACTAAATATTGAGGGTACAAGTGGCAGTTACACACACTGAGGAAGACGGTGTGCAGGGCCTATGCTTTACTCCTACGCTCACAGCTTCACTTTCGGTTCGCTGAGCTTATAGGATTTGTGTGTTTACTGTTTTTATCAAATTTGGGAAATAATTCTCTTTTTATGGACCAATATCTTTTACGGATATAGGTGCACATATTCTATGCAGAACACTAGACATGGACAAGTGGAATTGTTCCAGAAATGCAAGGCTAGTTCAACATACAAAAATCCCTCACTGTAATATGACATATCAACAGAATAAAGGACAAAAACTACCTGACAACCTTAGTATTTGTTAGGGATCCCATAGCTCTGGGAACTCTAATCACATATTTAAAAGGCCTATCTTAAAGCCAGACATGATGACACTTGCCTTTAATCCCAGCACTTGGAAGGCAGAGGTAGGTGGATCTCTGTGAGATTAAGGCCAATCTAGGCTACACAGTGAGTTCCTGGCCAGCTAGGGCTACAGGGAGACCCTGTCTCCAAAAACAAAGCAAGACAACTAGGTAAGACAAGACAAAACAAAACAAAACAAAACAAAACAAAACAAAAAAAGTATTAAGTCTCACTGTCAGGCAATTTTCTATAATTATTTTTTGCCTGTGTTTTATTTTTGCTAGTGATTACTGCAAAGTCTTCAAGTTCACTCATATTTTTTCTGCAATGTCTAATTTGCTGCTAATTCTATCAAACAGGTTTTGAAAATCCTGTAAGATGAAAGATTAGAAGATTTCAGACTCATTATCCCTTCCATGTATCTTATTTGAACATATAGAATAAAGTTGTGATAATTATTTAATAACAGTATAATAACTAATTCTGTCACTATCAACTCTGGGACAATTTCAGGGAGTTGTGGTTTCCCAGTCTGCCTGGTGGGAACAGACACTATGTCCAGCCCTTGTATGAGTGTCCATCATCATTCCCTCTAATCACTTTAGTGGACTCTTTTCCAGCACCTCTAGCTTCCTCATGCAGATGTGATGTCAATATCTACTGAGTATTTAAGGAAAACCCTCCACAGACTCTCACTGTTCTCTTTCTAGGCGGTGGTCTCCTTTCTACTACTCTGTCCCTCAAATTCTAACAGCCTTGGTCTCCTGAGACCCTCAGTCCCAGCTCTTTAACTGAAATGTGTGTAGGTTCCAGCTGGTTCCCCTTCCCTAAGCAATGGCTTAGAATTGCTTTAAGTCAGTCAACTGCGCAGTGATCTGCTTCATGTTGCCAGATGCTCTGTATCTTAAAATCATCCCATCCCTGCTCATCTATCTTGGCCAGAAGCAGTGTGGTGGGAACACTGCCACTAGAACAAAGAAAAAGAAACACAGCATGGTCTGTGTCTGGGTGCACATGCACAGTTCTCTGCCTGTCACGACCTTGCAGCAGAGCACCCAACCAGGATATGTGTGTTACCTTATGTGGCTAAGCTCTCCTCTGTTCAGGGTCCTGTTTTAGAGTTATCTCTCAGGGACTCTGTACTGGAACAATAAACTACTTCCTACATAGCCTTGGGATCCCAGTTTTCTGTTCAGATTCCTACTACATCAGAAGTACTATCAGAGTGGGTTTTTTTTTTTTTTTTAATAGGAACACATGTAGAAGTTAGAACTGTTCCAGGGTAAAAAGAGCACCTTACCTTATTAATGTATCATCATCGACAATAACTAGCCATGATATTTTGTCATGGCTATGATTCAAAAATCAAAAA